TTTTTTTTTTTTTGTGGTACTGAGCAACATGCCCAACCCAGCCCCATTCTTGATTTGTGTCCTTTAGTCCTGGCTTCAAGGATTCAAGGATTTGCTTTTCTTTCTTTCTTTCTTTCTTTCTTTCTTTCTTTCTTTCTTTCTTTCTTTCTTTCTTTCTTTCTTTTTTTTTGAGACAGGGTCTTGTTATGTAGTTCAGGCTGGCTTTAAACTCACTATGTAGGCCAGGCTGGCCTTGAACTCAGGGCAATTCTCCCAGCTCAACCTCCTGAGTGCTGGGATCACAGAGTGTATTGCTATGCTTGGTTTTTTTTTCTTAATTTTTAATTTTTTTATGTATTTAGTACAGGGTCTTGCTACAGAGATTGGACTCATAGCAGTCCTCCTGTTTTCGGCCTCCGAAGCACTGGGATTACAGGTGTGTGCCACCATGCCCAATGTCAATCGCTGTCTCAATGTGCCCCAGGGGCAGGGCCGGCACAGCAAGCCGGGAATTGAATCCCGGTCCCTGCATCTGCCTAAGCAGGCATTTTAAAAATTCTTTAGTAATGGGATTAGTTCAAAGTAGTTTATCTTTCTTTTTTTTTCTTTCTTTCTTCTTCTTCTTTTTTTTTTTTTTGTGGAACCAGGGATTGAACTCAGACCCTTGAGCTTGCCAGGCAAGCGCTTATTCTACTGAGCCATCTCCCCGGCCCCAATTTATCTATTTTTTAATCTTTCTCTCTCTCTCTTTTTTTTTTTTTTTTTTACCAAGGAATCAAACTCAGGACTTTTTCCTTGCCAGCCAGGTGTTAATCATATTTTTTGAGGTTTAATTTACTTTTTAAAAGAGTTTTTGAACTTTCAGCAACACATACAGTTGTCTGTCACTTTATCAGGAAGGCCTAATTACTTCTGTCTCACTTAGAGAAGGAGCAATGCAATGGTACATTGGAAAAGAAGAGGAAAAAAGTGGTTAGTGAGTTTTATGGGCACCATGGTCACAGTTTGCCATCTCAAATTGAGCAGATTAACTCACTTCATCCCTGTAACCCAGTTAATATTGACTTGACCTGGTCCTTTTCAGATGACATTTATTTGGTCACTGGTCTTCTGCAACATCAGGAACAGAGAAAAACAGCGGTCAATTATAAACGATTTTAAGAAGTGAGATGTATCTTTGTGTGGTTTATTTCACTTTTGCTCCATCAACAAAACATCCTAGAGGCCTTAATTATAATTTAGATATAGCATTAATAGATCCTAGATTTCAGTTTTACTTCCAAATCCATGCTTTTATTTTCATAAGTGACTTATACTCAGATAACATGCTTTGATTTTAGCTTAAGGATGAATATGATCATTGTAAGGTACAGCACGGGGAGAAGCCTGGTACGAAGTTTGACTTTGGCTTAGCTTATTCTGCTGTGGAATTGGGCATTTATAGAAATGGAGAATTACAGTGGACCTGTGCCTTGGATAGAGAGAGATCTACTTCCTATCAAATGCCTATTATATATCTATCTACTGGGCGTTGTGCTAGGCAGTTTTTTTTTTACTGACAGCTGCTCTGGCTACAATTTTCTCCTAGGTCCCACCGTCATTGAAGTCAAAATAACAGAAACATCAAAAACAAGCTAACAAACACATCCATCTCATGTGTCCTAGTTGATTAGTAGTTGTCATAGCTGCCACACCCTCTATAAGACCCTGGCACCATAATCAGGATAACTGAATCTCAGGGCTTTGAGGTCACGACTTAGAAGGGTGACCCCTTTTCTCTTTAGGGCAGTGTGGAATCACAGTGCTCAGGTCTCTCAACGAGAGGTGCAAACTCTGGTCTTCAGCCTGCAAGCTCAGAAAAAAAAAAAAAAAAAAAAAAAA